AAACAAAATTCTTTCATTATAGATGAATTTTTTCAGAAGACTTTTTTTGTTTGTCTTTTTTAATAGCACATAAATAGAAAAGGAAACAAGCAAAGAAGCAACCTGCTGAATGGCTTTTAAAAGTTTAATGATTTCAAACCTACAAGCCCCCAGACATTCCAGTTGTTAACAGCCTATCACAGCTATCTGTGTGTTTATAATAAATGCTTAACCATAGAGAGCATGTTGCTGGCAGTGTTATTTAATTCATCAGTGTGATTTTCTTAAGAACGAATCCATATCATAAATTTTAAAAATTTAATACTGCTATAGTAATAGAATCCAGACACCTTATTTGAATTTCTCCACTCATGCCAAAAGATGGTGTCTCTCAAATTTAAAAAAGAAAAAAAAAAATTTTCAAAATAATGATCTAAAGATTCTTCCAAGAAAAAGTATGACTCAATTCACAAATCATTCCTTCATATGAAGATTGTGTCTCTCTTCTCTAGGGTCATAATCAACAGCATCTTTTCTTCTAATTTAGCCTTCAATTAAAATGCAGTGTCCACGGTTTGCCAAGAATCAGTGAACAAAAGCACTCTTTTCTTGCTTAATGAGAACAGTAAGTTAATTTACAGAAATTTGGACAAGTCTCTTGAACTCCTGGAAATCATCTAGCAAGGAACTGTACAACAATCTGAAATTATTATTAATCTGTTTTCAAGCTGCAAAAGAAGATCAATATAGTACAAACAACATAAATTCTAAAAGTAGTACTTACAAGATACCCTAGCAATAAAGATCACTCTATCGTAATAACTATTTGGATTGGATACACATACTGAATCTTAAGATTGTTCTCAGGTGTCAATCTTCCATGTTATATGAGCTTGAATACTGCTTTAGCACAACAAAGGAAACTAACATGTTCGTTCAACGTGGTCAGTTTGGTACTGTATACAACAGCTCCAAGGGAGAAAGAAAACTTGCATATTTCTACTCACAGTTGCCCCACAACAACATGACATTTACCTGACAAAAGAAATATTAAAAAAACCACGGTCCTACTGTTTAAAAAATAAAGTATCCATCTACCTACACATATGCCTATCTGTGGAAGGCACATTTATGAATGTGCTAGTGTAATTTTAACCTCATTAAATTATTAAACTTTATTCTATTAACTTGATTTTTTTTTTATTTTTCACAACACACATAGTCTGTAAATTGTAAAAGTTTGTTGTTTTTTTTGCTTTGTTTTGTTTTTTAAGTTTGGGGCATTGCTGTAAATGTTCTTTAATCTGTCAGTGTGCCTTTCTTAAGAATTAATCCATACAATAACTGGAGCACACAGCTATCAAAATCAAGAAGCTGAATACTGCTACAGTAATAAAATCTGGAGACCTTATTCATATTTCCCAACCATGCCAAAAGATAGTGTTTCTTTCAAGTTAAAAAATAACTTTGTTAGCCAGGCGGTAGTGGTGAATGCCTTTAATCCCAGCATGCAGGAAGCATATGCAGGTAGATCTCTGAGTTCACAGCCCGGACAGTCTACAGAGCAAGTTCTAGGACACCAGGGATACACAGAAAAATCCTGCCTCAAAAATCAAACCAACCAATAAATAAATAAATAGATAGATAGATAGATAGATAGATAGATAGATAGATAAAACCAAACAAAAATTCAAAATTAATAACCTAAAGATTCAGATTCATTTATACATATATACATGTACACATGCATATATGCACACATACATATATAAGAATATAAGAAATACAACAAAAAGGTCATAAAAATAAAAAAATTATAAAAATGCAAAAGATACAGAAACATTTCAATATAAAATATAAATAAAACTCTAGGCTTATGACTTACAATGCTAAGCAACAGATGAACATTCAAATCAACTGCCAACCCTACTACCAAAAGTAAAAGGATGATACAATTACAGAGTTGCAGAAGATCGCAAGAGAGTCACTACAGTATTCATCTCTCTTCCCTCTGCTGCCTGAAGATCACAAAAAGCAAAAGACAAAGAAAAGCCTATACCTCTGACAGGCTTTGATTTTACTATAAAATTAAGTTTTGACTAGTCTCTTCCCACTATGAATTCTTTTCCTGAATTCTATAGTGATAACTATGCTAGTCAAATGTACTACTTAAGTTTTGTACTACTTAAATTTTGGAGTCATTATATGACACTGGCATGAACTCTGTGACAGCCTTCCGCCAGGCCACTATCATCTTCTCTTATAAATCAGTTCATGTTTTCCAATTAAATGATGAAAATTATGTCTGAACTGAGCCAAGACTTGTAGGCATAATGTTATTGTGCACTGTATAAAGACTCAAATGTTGATTTCTGTGACCCCATATCTGGTTGCAATCCTTGTTCTGAGAATCTCCTGTCTCAATGTTGTGGAAACACTGCTCCTCAATTGTTCCCTGATATGTCAATAAAACAGCTCAACATCCAGATGCTGAGCAGGAAAGAGACTAGGGCTTTACTTCCTGGCAGCCAGTAGAGGAGAAGAGAGGGGGAGGGAGGAAGTAGGGGATTCAGGCATGGGCAGAGGTCCAAGAGATATCAGGAGAGAACAGCTGAGCAGAGAAAGCTGTAATTGTAAAAAGACACCTCACCTCTTTCCATAAGCAGTGAGTTACAACAGCACTTTGGACAAAGTAATATATTTTTATAAACATTTTCTACTGTGGTTCGGATCTTGAATGTTCCCTAAATCCCTAGTCTGGGGCTACTGGGAGGTGGTAGAACCCTTAGGAGGTGTGACCTCATGAAAGGTCCTTAAGTCTACTACTTCTTCTCCAACTCCTGCTTTCTTTGATTCCTGTGCATGAGGTAAGTGGTTTCCATCACACACTGCTCAAACTATGATATGCTGACTCACTATAGAGCCAAAGCAAGAGAGCCAACTGAACATGTATTGGGATTTCTGAATGAGTTTTGTTCATTTTTTTTTCTCTTTCTCTTTTCTTTCTCCTTCTCCCCCCGACCCCCAATACTGGGTTTCTCTGGCTATTCTGGAGCTAACTTTGTAGACCAAGCTGGCATCAAACTCACAGAGATCCACTGGCTTCTGCCTCCTAAACACTGGAGTTAAAGGCGTACACCACCATGCATAGTTGAATGAGTTAAAGTAACCTTTTTCCTTTATAAGTTGAATGCCTCTGATATGTTCTTACAGCAACAGAAAGCTAACTAGCACATGAACACATGGCTAGTTCATTTTATTTTCTCCTCAACTATATTTCCTTTACTTTTTCGACTAGGCCAAGAGACTACCTGTCTCTTAGTTATTATGTTGCACTGGCTAGCCTGGAGGGTTCTGCCTTCCTCTGTCCTGAGTACTGAAATTAAAAAAAAATATGCCATCACACTCAGCTTCCAAATTTTTCTTCTGACAAAAACACTTAACAAAAGCAGCTTAAGGAAGAAGGAAGAAAATTTATTTGACTCATGGTTTGAGGGTGCACTGTATTAGAAGGCAGGAATGGCAGAAACAGTATGTGTAAGCTTGTCTTATTTAGTGCCCACTAAGATAAAGGAAAGACATGAATGCTACTGCTCTGATGCTTTTCATTCAGTCAGGGCCCCAGCATTCAGGAGGCAGAGAAAGGCAGATCTCTGTGAATTCGAGGCAAGCCTGGTTTACACAGAGTTCCAGGCAAGTCAGGACCATATAGTGAGATCTCGCTGTGGCGGACGGGTGGGGTGGTTAACTAATAAAGTCATATTTTAAAAATATGTTTCCAAGGGCCAGCCACATAGCTCAGCAGTAGAGTATTTGCCTACCATGTACAAGGCCCTAAGTAAGTTCAATATCCGTACTGAAATACATGTGTAAAAATTACATATGTAACATTTTCAAAATTTCCAGTCACTAAATATATAATTTTTAAGAATCTGAGGGCCCAGGCATACTGAGAAGCTACAAGATAACACCACGGCCCTGTGACCGGTCCCCTCACCAGGCCAGGAGCATCAGAAAGTGAGTAAGCAGGTGATGGAGTGAAGGAAGAGAAGAAGTGAGCATATGGGTGATGGAGAAATGTGAGACGGAATGATGATCGAGATTGGGGTATATAATGTGAAATTCACAAAGAATCAACACGAAGTTTTCAAAAAACTTACAATCTATCCTATTCATTGAGGTCATTGTTAATTTCTCTTTCCTGTGTGTACTATCTTTCCGATCAGCTCCGTACATGTTTTCTTGAACAACAACAACAACAAAAACCTCATTGTTTATCATGTTTGCTCTACCTATCAACTAACTCTAGGGGGAAAGGAAAACAACGTCACTTTATGACCACTACATTAGTCTCCCACATCCCCGCTTGCTATTGCTATGAAGATGACCCAGTATATAAATGAACGAGAACTGACATGGACCATGAATCTATCCTCTAGATCAGTGCTTCTCAACCTGTGAATATCCTGCACATCAGATAGTCGCAATATGATTCCTAACAGCAGCAAAAAAGTTATGAAATAATTTTGTGGTTGAAGTCACCACAACATGAGGAACTGTATTAAAGGGTCACGGCATTAGGAAGGTTGAGAACCACTGCTCTAGATGGTTAATGTTGATAGACTCTGGAAATATCTAGGAGAGAAGGTTCCAGGCACACCTAAGAGGACTGATCTTGATTAGGTTAACTGGAACAAGAAGACACACTCCAAAAGTGGACAGGACATTCCCTGGACTTGGGGTGTAGACTCCATGAAAAGGAGAAAATCAACTAAGCACCAGCACTTATCTTTCTTCTCCTAACTATTCATAGGACAAGCTGTATAAAATTAACAAAACAAAATAAATAAAACATTTGATTTTCTTACCATGAGAGAGGGCCTGAACCCCAGAACTATGAGCCAAAATAAACCCTTTCTCCTTAAAGTTTGATTCTGTCAAGGTATTTGTCACAACAGAAAAGCGACTATGAAACATAGAAAGCAGAAATTGAAAAGAACCAATTTCTACACATTTCTTACCTATTGCATGAATCTGATTCTGAGGAGAGGAGAATATCAGTACAACTAGAAGAATCATCTGGTCTCTCGGGCTCTGACTGCCCTGGGGAGTCCAGCTTTGACTGAAGAATGGGTTTTGTTACTGAGACAGTATCTGAGAAGCTCACATTATCTTCTTGTGCTGACAAGGAAAAATAAAATACAAAAAAAAAAAAAAAATTAAAGAGGACCTTAAAATGTACAACCTATATAAGCCTTTATATTTCTTTAACACTTAATATGGCTATTTTTATTTTTAAAATAGAAGTAAAAAACACTGATTCTAAAACTATGAAATAGAAAATGACACTTTAATTGCTACTAATTATCTTACCTTTTTCATTTTAAAACAGATATGAGAATGCACTGCCATTCTAATGAAGTTTCTATTAGCAGCTTAGTAAGAAATAATTGCATGTTTCATCAGAGAACACTGACAAATTAACCAAACAGAGTCATTAAGGGAATCTTACTATTTGGCACATGACATGACATTGAACATCTATGGACACTTCTCCGAACCCTTTCAATAAAATCTATCCACTAAGGAAAACCAATCAGACAGGAATCTTGTCATTTCATATGACAAATTTCTGTACATACTCCGTCATATTGTTTTCAAAGTTTCTTTTTATAAAGATGCAGGGACACGGCAGAGTGGTTTGAAAGAATATGACATACAGGCATAGGCAAATATATGAAAATAAAGGCACAAAAATTACCAGCTGTGCCAGACTGTCTGATGCCTAGGACCCTCCCTCTCACAGTGTGTGCCAACACTACGAGGATTTTTATCTGTGCTACCCTGAGAATGCAGAAAATGAATGAATGCCAGCAACTATTAAGGTTTTGTGAGAATAAAAAATTTATTGAATAGGACAAATTCTTTAAAAACAAAATCAAAACTACCTTTCCAAGTTCATATAATCAAAATTTCCAGAAATGACTCTCAGTGTTTGTTCTACAGGACAGCATTCATCTTCAGTGCAAACTCCTAACATTGTCTGAGTACCAACAAACCGTCATGACCAAAGCAGAGCCACACCCTCTGCTGTTCATCAGGAAGAGAGGAAGGCCATTAACCAGTGACTTCCCAGAAAGTCCAGAACTTCCTCTAATAAAGACACCACAGGAGGAAAACCAATCATGAAGGAAATTCAATCACTCAGTAATTATGAAGAATGCAGTCAAACTGGCATTTTAGTCATCAAATACCATGACCAAAAAGCAAGTTGAGGAGGAAAGGGTGTATTTGACTTACACTTCCACAGCACTGTTCATCATTGAAGGAAGTCAGGAACTCAAACAGGACAGGATCCAATGCAGAGGCCATGGAGAAGTGCTGCTTACTAGCTTGCTTCCCTTGGCTTTCTCAGCCTGTTTTCTTACAAAACCCAGGACCACCAGCCCAGAGATGGTACCACCCACAATGGGCTGAACCCTCCCCCCATTGATCACTAATTGAGAAAATTCCTTACAGCTGGATCTCATAAAGGCATTTCCTCAACCGTGGCTCCTTCCTCTTTGATACCTCTAGCTTGTGTCGAGTTGACACAAAATCAGCCACCACATAAGGGAACAAGGATTCAATTTAAAACAAACTTAAATATTTGCACAGTGACTACACTCTCCTCTTCTTCCCTGCTTACGTTAGCTTAGAGAGGATAAAACCCCATCAAAGATAAACATCATCCAACAATCTGCGAGCACTAAAAAGTCAGTTATCCTTCCTGCCTGCCCCTTGAAAAGCAGAGCCCAAATGTGAGGATCAGACAACAGACTTTCCCCTAAGACAAACAACAAAAACAAGTCAAGTTCCCCTTGAGAGTGCATGCCTCTTACTCATTTACAGGTCAGTTCAACGTTTACTCTAAAGGACAGCAGTTACACTCAGTGTGGACACTTCACTAAATCCATCTTTTCAATCTGCCCTCCCCTTTCGAATGCCTTTCCTCTTAGGTATCTCTGTTTGTTAACCAGTGACTTCCCAGAAGATCCAGAACTTCCTCTTATAAAGACACCACAAGGAGGAAAACCAATCATGAAGGAAATTCAATCACTCAGTAGTTATAGAGAATGCAGTCAAACTGGCATTTTAGTTAGGGTTTCTATTGCTGTGATCAAACACCATAACCAAAAAGCAAATGTAGCCTCACAACATCAATTACCTCTGAAGCACAGAGACTGTATGTAGTACATAAGCGTACATACACCTAAGATGTATTTTCAAAGCACAAGCAACCAATTCTATGTGAGACATTGGACTAATAAACAGAAAATATTCTCATAGTGGGAAATATTGAGTCCAGTTCTTAAGAATTAAATTAATTTCTAAGGACATCCTTTAACAACTGCGTGAATAAATTCAAACCATTCGAAGATCATGAGTTATATACTAAGGCAGCATCTAGCACCTGAAAGACCCCCAAGAGATCTGAGGACAGATAAGGAGTTCAATAATACAAAAAACAAAAAGAAAGAAAAGGAAGGAAGGAAGGAAGGAAGGAAGGAAGGAAGGAAGGAAGGAAGGAAGGAAGGAAGAAAGGAGAGAGGGAGGGACGGAGGAAGGAGAGAAGGAAGGAAGGAAGGAAGGAAGGAAGGAAGGAAGGAAGGAAGGAAGGAAGGAAAGGAAGGAAGGAAGAAAGGAAAGAAGGAAGGAAGGAAGGAAGGAAGGAAGGAAGGAAGGAAGGAAGGAAGAAAGAAAGAAAGAGAGAAAGAAAGATAGATAGATTCAAGAAAAATCTAGCTTTAAAAAAAGTTCATGAATTGAAATATGTAATATTGCTAAGATGTCAATATTACTCAAAGCTACCCATATAGTCAATGCAATCCAATATAAAAAGAACTCAACAGTGGTTTTGCGAAAAGAATAATTCATCCTAAAATTTACATGCAATCTCAAGAAGTCCCAAATAGCCAAATAATATTGAAAAAGATTAACATCTAAATGATGCATACTTAACTTCCAAATAAAACTAAGTATGGACTAGGTATAAGGCCAGACTCAGATCAATGTAACAGGCAGAATAAGGACAAGAAAAGTAAACCTTTTTATGGTTAGTTGAATGTTTTTGTTTGTTTTGGCTTCTTTCTATTTTTGAAACAGATTCTTGCTATGTAAGGAAGGATGCCCTCAAACTCATAATCTTCCTGCACCCAATTCCTGAAGAGCGTTGGAACTGTGAACATGTTTTATGCACCCAGTCTGATAAGCTGGCTTTTGAGAAACTATCAACAGCATTTTACAACAAAAGACAAGACTTCAAAATAATAATACTGAGAACTAGACATCTGCATACAAAATAATCGAGGTGGACACCATCTCATACCTTAGATAAAAGCAAAGTAAAATTGGCCAAAGACCTAAAACTAAGTGGTGATACCACAAAATACTAGGAAGAACTCATTGGAATAGAGTAATTTGCACAACAGGGGATTTGGCAATGACCTCATGTATATAATACCAAAAGTACAGCAATAAATAAATAAACTGGACATAATAAAAAGTTAAAACAGTTTTGTGCATGAGAGGTACTACCAGGAAAGCAAAAGGCAATACAGAGTGTCTTCAAATATTTGCAAATCTTATATACACAATGAGGAACAAATATCCACAGTAAGAAACCCCAAAAACTCAATCAAAACCCAAAGACCCATTAGTAAGTAGGCAAAGGGCTCAAATACATTCCAAAACGGGGGGGGGGGGGGGGGGAGAACCAAAAAAAAAAAGAAAAAAAAAGAAAAACCCCAAAAAAAAAAAAAAAAAAAAAAAAGAAAAGAGAGAGAGGGGAAAAAGGAAAAAAAAAGGGGGGGGGGGGGGGGGGGGGGGGGAAGATAGCCAATAAGTACGTGAAAAGATGCTGAACTTCCTAGAAAAATAAAAATCAAATCATGATGACACACTACTTCATGTCAACTTGACTACATATGGAATTAACTAAAACCCAAGTTTTTGGAAGACATACCCTAAATCGAGGCCACACCTTCTGGTGGCAGGCTACATTATAAAAAGACTGAGAAAAGGGAAAGTTTTTGCTTTTTCCCTGCTTCCCTCACCCTCTCTGGCAAGTACATCTACCCTGTTGCTGAGGCATTCCTTAACTCGCATTAGGAACTGCTTCTTTGGTCTTCCAACATAAGCGGAAAACCAGATGGACTAGTGGACAAAGAAAACCATCAAGTGCTGACAGTATGTGGAGAAATGAGACATGGACTGCCAGTTGGAATGTAAAATGATGCAGCCATTTGTGTAGCATAATCTGTTGGTTCTTCAAAAGGTTAAATACAGAACTATCATTTGAACCAGAAATTCCACTTAGACACTTTCTGATTAGCTTTACTATCAATTTGACACAACCTAGAATCACATGAAAGAAAGTCTCAATTGAGGAATTCCCTAAATTAGATTGGCCGTGACCATGTCTGTGGTGGACTGTCTTGATTGTTATTTAATGTAAGAGGATCTAGCTCACTTTGGGTAGTAATATCCTTAAGTACGCAGGCCTGAGCTGTATAAAAGAGCTAGCTGAGCATAAAGTAGCCTGAGATACCAGTAGCAAGCAGTACTTTCCATGGTTCCGCTGGACTTCTCTGACTGTGAAGTAAATCTCTAGGTGGGAAGTAATCTCTTGGTTGGAAGGCAGACCTGCCTTCAAGTTCCTGGCCCTGACATCCCTAAATAAGAAACTTCGAACGGGGATTGGAAGCCAAATAAACTCTTTCCTTCCCAAAGGTTTTGTTTATTTTGATTTTATTTTTATTTATTTAATTTTTCTCATCAGGGCTTTTTATCACAGCAACAAAAATGAAACTAGAACAGGCATGTAATAAAAAGAACTGAAAGCAGGGTCTTAAACCATGAAACCAGTGTCTTAAACCAGGCTGATAGGTGACAACTAATGCACATAAAAACATTATTCACAACAGTCAAGAAGGCACAATAACTCAATAAGAAGATGAAATGCTGCATACACATAAGAAATACTATTGCCACAAAAAGGAAAGAAATTTTAACATTTGCCACAACACTGATGGACAATAAAAATAGGCCAATATAGGAAGACAGATACTGTATAATTTTACTTGCATTAGGTCTCCAAAGCAAGCAAATCCATAAAGAGACAAATAGATGATCAAGGATAGGGATATGTGGGGGACCAGGGTGTGATGTGATGCCCCAGGTACAGAGTTTGTACTGGGTGTGCTGAAATGGTTTGGGGCAGAGATGGATGGTTAAAAAGTACTATGAGTGCATCTATTAGCCATGAATTGTGCACCTTTGTTCATGAATTGTGCTATTAAAATATACATTATATGCATTTCATCACAATTAAGAAAAATATTAAAGAAATTTTTGTGCAACTTTCTCCATTATGATTCTGTTCTTCTCATGGTCCAAAGCCTTCGCAACAGAAATACATTAATCTCAAATTTAAAATTGGACCAAAACTAAGTAATGCACTGAATTTTTTGGCAAACCAAGTACATTACCTTTAGACTCTTCATCACAACACTTCATCCAAAGTAAACATGAGACAGAGTTCTACAACAAAAATAACTGTCTTTCTTGGTAGGCTGTCTTAGTATCTTCAGCAATAACCCTTACAGCTAGGAAATATCCTCACAGTCAATTACAGAACTTGGGGTGCTTCATACTTACCAGGCAGCAGACATCTCTTCAGGACAGTCTCCCCTTGTTCCAAAGTAAGCAATAAGCTACTTAACAGTCAACAACTGCTACATTAATCTTATCTAAAAAATATTTTCACCCACTTCAAATACTGAATCACTTCAGTAAATTCCAATGGTTTTAAATTCTTTATACAATTAAAAGAAAAAAAGAAAAAAAAAAAAAAAGAGGACCAACAAGATGGCTCAGTGGGTATATTCAACCTGAGTTTGATCACGAAACCCACATGGTAGAAGGACAGAACCAACTCCCACAAGTTGTCCTGTAAGTTCCTCAAATATGTACAAGTGATGTACATGCATACACAAAATAAGTAAATAAATGTAAAAAAAAAAAAAAGTTATGAATTTACTACACTTTCAGTAAGTCTTACCAGTATATTCAGATGACAGTTTCTCTGCAGGTCCATCTTTTCTTGTTTTTGTAGCTTCTGACATTCTGCCAGTTTTCTTGTATCCTCTTTTGGCCTGATCTACCAGAAGCTGGAATTCATTCTGATGCTTTTTACCTAAAATTCAAAAGAACTGTGAGTGCATGAACCATTTACACACGACAAACTGAGTATCAGGTACACTCAGGAACATCATTCGCAGAGTCTCCCGCACTGAATGCAGAAGCTGCAACACGGAAGACCACAGAGGGCGCAGGGGCAGCTGTTAAGTCTCTCTTCCTCTTCACCCAAAGCAAACATGGATAAATACTATAGCTTGCTATTGGAGGTTTTTTTTCCTCCCAAACCCCTTTTTATGGAGAGGCTTTCCACAGAGTATGAGATATAGACTGGTAACCATTTTCTCCTTCCCTCCCATCTTACTTTCTTTTTGTTTCAGTGAGGCAGGACTTACTTTGTAGCCAAGAAGGATCTCAAACTCTTAATTCTCAGCTTCCCAAATGCTGGGATTTCAACATGTGCCACCACACTCAGTGACTGACGCTTCAAAAATACACCCGAAAGGTGGCTTTCTACCTAATATTCAAGATACACAAGTCTATGAAGACTAAGCAGATTACAGTAACTGACACAAAAGCAGCGGCTCTAAGAAAGTAGGTTTATAATAAAGAATGTTTTTCCAACATTGCTGTTTCCCAGAAGAATGCTTTGAACAGTTTACATTCTCAGCTCGCCATGTCCCGTTTTAAGATATATAACACCAAGATATATAACTACCACTTTAACACCTCCGAACTAATTTCATAACCCTGACTTCAAGGCCATTATTACCCAGATTAACAATACACTCCTGAAGAACCCTCGGTGATAGAGCACAAGGATTAGGACACTAACTTGTGAGACTGAACCATGTTTCTAGGAGCTGTTGTTGTACTTTACTTACTGGTAACCACAGTTCAAAATAATACTGTCTGTAAATGTCCTCAAATTTTAGAAAACTAAAATACTACATTATACTATAATGGTGCAAAAAAAAAATTTAAGAACTTTCCACACATAGCCAACAATATATCTTTTAACACTTGGTTTCTTTTACATTTAGCACAATACAAAGGAAGAGGGAGTGTACTGGAGTAAGGTTCTACACAGGTATACCCAGAGCTACCCTTCTGGGATTCTAGCCATTCAGTTCCTTGAGCTGCAGTCATACTCTGTAAGTTACAGGTAACCAATAGTCATGAAAAACAGTTTTCTGTAGGTATATAAAATCCCTCAGCCGGAGAATCAGCTGAATTGACATCCCTACCCCACTGTGGAAGAAGCCAGTTTTGCCTCCATGTGCACATTCATTATCATAATCCTCATTCACAAGTCTGACTTTTTCATTGATTCTCTTTGGTATACCTTAAAAACATCTTCCCAATCTTTAATCAAATTTTAAAAATTCTATTTTTATTTTATTTTAAAAAATACTTATCCTTAGTATAAGCACATTTAAGTGTTTGTCTTTATATTCACCACATGTATACAGAAGGAGGTAAGAAGAGGGTGTCAGATCTCCTGGTACTGAAATACAGATGGTTTGAACTGCGACATGGGTACTGGAAATCAACCTGTGTCCTCTTCAAGAGCATTAATTTCTCTTCATTGCTGAGCCATCTCTTCAGCCCCTAATAACTAGTTTTTAAATCCATAATAAATTTAATGAGATGAATAACTTCACCTGGTTCTGAGAAGCTTTCCTTCAGTGTGGACAGCACTGTTATGAACCACCTCAAGTAAAAAAAATAATAATAAATAAAAAAAAATAAAGGCTGGATTCCTACATTTGAATGCTGGTGAGGATAGCAAGGCATTTATAAGACTATTTCTAATTCCAGTGTATTTGTGTACATACAGACTCCCAGTGAAACTGTATAACATCTGGTAAATTGTAAAAATAAAAGACTAAATTTTCACTAAAAGAATCATAAACTGGGCAAAGGGATTCCTGGAGAAAATCCAATTCTTTAGAAATGGGTGAAATTCAATGAAAAGTGACTTTTTTAATGAAAAATTAAAACAAAAGCAAACAAATATATAAACTATCAAGATTTCTAGACGCTTGGCATGGTAGAGCATGCCTTTAGTCACAGCTCTGGGGAGACAGAGATAGTCAGCTCCCTGACTATCTGAGGCCAGCCAGGGCTACAAGTAAAGAAATAAAAACGATTACTAGAGGAAGTCATTTCTTTAGGAGCAGGTACAATAATTCCTTTCATACCCTATTTAATTCCATGCATGTAAAGAGGATCACCTCACCTACTTCCTCAGCTCCCACGGTACATGGACACAATACTACCACCATCATTCTGGAGCTGATAATAGGAGTATGGAGTTTAATTAAGCCAACTATAGGCTTATTATCTTGCTTTCTTTTCTTGTTGCTGTGATAAAACACTGACAAAAGCAACTTAGGGAGAAAGGGTTTATTCAGGGCAGGCCGGTGGCAGGAGCTTCAATAGCTGCTCACATCTCATTCACAATTGGGAAGCAAATGAACAATAAACACGGTGCTCCTGCTCAGTAACCTTTAAAACACTTATAAAATCTAGGATCTGTGGGACTGGAGAGATGGCTTAGAATTAAGAGAACTGGCTGTTCTCCTTGAGGACCTGGGTTCAATTCCTACCACTGACATGGTGGTTAATAACTGTAACTCCAGTTCCAGGGAGTCTGATTCTCACATGGTGTACGGACACAGATGCAGGAAAAACACTCACTCACACATAAAAATAAATAAATCTTTATTAAAAATTTAAATCTAGTATTCCAACTCACCATGGGCAGGCCTTCTCATTTCAACACAATCAAGATATCCTATGGGCACTGCCAAAGGCCCATCTCTCAGGTGATTCTAGATTTTATCAAGCTGACCACAAAAGATTGTCAACAAAACCATCACAGTCATTTTCCTTCTTTCTTTTATTTTTTCTAAGCCACCAGGAAACATAGGGTGTGACTTAACATTTGTTCAAAAACCCCTAAAGTAATCAAATTAACACTCAGATGGGCTTAATGGCTTTACTCCTAAAGTATTAAAAGCTCAGGTTTATAGTGTCTTTTTATTCCTTGAGTCTAGTACCCCACGGCTAGGCTGGAAACAAAACTAACAGCCACCACTCTGGCTCTGGTTCAAGAAGTCCAAAATTGCTGCAGAGAAAATAAATGATGCCAACAGATTATGACTAATAAAACTGTTCCCACTCATCATTTCACTTATCTTAGAAGATCTGCTATTTGGCAAAGAACTCTCTAGAATCTAAATTATGAGTTTGAATTATATGTCTTGAATTTTCCTCTTAAAAACTTTAAGTGGTTCTGGGAGATGCACAATGGCTCGGCAGTTTAACAGGACTGGCTGCTTTTCCAGAGGAACTAGGTTTAGTTACCAGAACCTACCTGCTGGCTCATAACACCCAAAACTCCAATTCCAGGGTATCCAACCCTTTCTTCTGACTTCTGAGGGCACCAAGCACACATGCTGTACACAGAATACATGTAAGGAAAACACTCATACACATAAAATAAATAACCCTTAAAAAAAAAAAAAAAGTGGAACTCTGGTGTGGTGGCGCATGCCTTTAAACCAAGCACTCAGGGAGGCAGAAGCAGGTGGATCATGTTAGTTCGAGGCCAGCCTGGTCTACAGAGTGAGGTCTAGGCCAGTCAAGGCTACACAAAACCCTGTCTTGAAAAACCAAAATAAAAAAGTGGTTTGACTAGTTAAGGGAGCTGATGAACAAGTCCATATCTAACAACTCAAAATGACTGTGGCTTATTTTCTGCTCTTCATTCAAACCCCAGCACAGCTTTATTATGGACCCTCTTAGCTGACCTCACAGGACCAAAAAACATACAGACTTATGAAAACCTATATTCTTCCAAGCCACCACTCCTTCCCTATGTAGACATGCTCTATATTCCTAGCCATTATCATGAAACAGGAATAGCTGTGTTAGAATTAAAGGCCAACCCCTACCTTATGCTCTCACCTCCATCCATAAAACCACACACAGAATCGTCTTTAAACCAACATCACAGATTGGGAGGGGGGTACTTAGCAATTCAGGGACTGGCTTTTCATTTTTCATGACTTAATGAAAAAGAGGGCAGAATGGAGTGTACCAACATGCACCAAAAATGGCAAAGGGAAATATGGTTTTGTGAAATTGTTTTCATAACATGTACATGCACTTAGTGGTGCTATAAAAAGCATTTCCGGCTATGGGTTGCATTCCAAAAGCCTGAAAGTCCCTGAGATAAGCACCTCTCAACTTATACAACACAGTTAAACAAACAAAACACCCCCCCTGACCCCAACATCACCTCATTTTTCTACTCTCCCTGCCCTGGAAATATTTCCCTAAAGAGCTGTCTACTTTATTAATGGTCTCTCTTCTTCCAATTTGGTCGCAACCAACTGAGTTGCTTCTGACACCTCCACTCCTGAAATCATTCTAGAGGAAAGCACAATGTCAAGGTTTGCTGCCACAAGCTGGAAAATTGACTGGCCCCTAATGCCTTTTACATAGCTTCCCAGCAACAGGAGCACGTGAATTGTGCCCCACAGTTCATGATTCCATCTGCCTACATTTTCCAATACCACATTTCCAAATGCTCCTTCCACCTCAAGCCTAAACTCTGACAGTTTTCTTTGTGGGCTCCTCTTCCCTTTCCATCATCTACTAAAATAGGGTATTTCAGAGTACAGTTCAGTTAAGTATCCCTGAAATTTTTCCTTCAAGGACTATGAGATAACACTTATTGTCATACTCATACTAAAAGGTTATCTATCTGTTTCTTAAAAAACAAACAACAACAACAACAACAAAAAAAAAAACATTTATTTTACATGTATGGCTGTTTTGCCTCCATTTATGTCTGTGCACTACAAATGCACAGTTACTATAGAGGCCAGAAAAGAGTTTAGATTCTCTGAAACTGGAGTTGCAGGCTGTGTTAGTCTCCATGTAGGTGCTGGGAACCAAACCTAGGTTTTCTGCAAGAACAAGTGCTCTTACCCAAATGGCCATCGCTTTAGCCTTTACATCTCCTTTTTTATTACAATGACATAATATATGAATGGAGTAACAGCAATGGTGGAGAAAATTTCTGGTGCCTAGCATGCATCAAGGAAATGATGCTGTATTCTTCCCAGCATACACACATTACCATTTAGAAAAAAAAAAAAAAGTTAACTTTACTATCTTGATGGTGGGCTGTATGGTTGCTAAGTGGCAGAGTACATGCTTAGTTTGTAAGATCCCCAGCAACTCTCTCTATATATAAATAGATACATTACAGACAGACAGACACACCTATAAACATCTCTTTGATGGAACAGTAAGAAAGTATATATGAAAAACTTTTAAGTTATTTGCAAAAATTAGAACATTCTTTTCATTAATTAAAAAGGTCAGACTTCTCATGTATTACACAGAAAATTTTGTAGCTATGTATATGATCTTGAACTGAAAGATTTAAGCACAAAAAAAGGTCTTTTTGACCCTCCACAGTTACTTCTGTTAACCAACTTCCAGTCCCTAGTAGCACCAACCTATTGTTACTACATTTTTCTTTCTAGAATTTTATATGAAGGGAATAATACTCATACTACTGTTTAGCTGGCTCTTCTCGGGCCACAGTGCTGCTGAGATTTACCCATGATGCTTCATCAGCCAGAAGCTCCCTCTACTTTAATGACCAGTCTATTCTATTACATATAGACACATATATGGTGTTTCTAGATGCTTGCTCATCCTGGCCAGCACCCCTTCAATGAATACTCAATTTTATTGTTACTTTAATTTGTATTTCATAATAGTTTAGTGATTAATAAAACTACATCTTTTCAGGTTAATAAAACTATCTTTTCATGCAGTTCTTTCAGAATTTGAATATCTTCTTTAGAGTCTATTCACATTTTTTAATCCATTTTTTTAATGTGGCATCTACCTCATTATTGAGTTTAAAGAGTCCTTTATATAATGTATTAGTACTCTGTTAGATCTAAGATTTACAGATACCTTGTCTCAATGGTTGTTTAATTTTATTTTATTGAGTTCTTTTTAAGAGCAAATGTTTTAAACTCTTGTAGTCTGAGCTTACACATTCTCTTTTATGGCTCAAACCACTGTGAAGGAAATCTGCCATCTCTGATTTACAAGTTTTATTGTTTCCCTTTCAAATCTATACATTATTTCTCTCTTGCCTTACTGCTCTGGCTAGTACATATCCTGCTGAACAAAAGTGTTGATGATCAATATTTACACTGTTCAAAACAAGAGTAAAAGGTATCATAATTTCACCATTAAACAATGTCAGTTCTTCATACATATACTTTACTAAAGAAAAAAATTTATAAAACATGAATTTGATAAAAACAGTTGCAATAAAAAAATATTCCAAAAATTCTGAAAACTTCAACAATAAAGAAATAAACACACCAAATCCCCACCCCAAGACAGGTTTCTCTGTGTAGTCCTGGAACTCACTCTGTAGAACAGGCTGGTCTTTAACTCAGAAATACAGCTGCCTCTGCCTCCCAAGTGCTAAGATTAAAAAGTGTGTGCCACTGCCTCTGCCACCAACCAAATGCGTCATTTTTTTAAGGAGCAAAAGATTAAGCCAATTTACCAAAAAGATACAGAGAAGGTAAATAAATATATTAAGAGATATCCTCACATGGAATCAAGAAATGACAAAATCGAACAGTGAAAACCTAGATGGACATGTTAAGGCACACTTGTCATCCAGTACTTAGGAAGCTGAGGCAAAAGGATCAAAAATTTGAGTGTGAACTATACAGTGTGTGTCAAACCAACCTAGAACACACAGAGAGGCCATGTCTCAATACAAACAAACAACAATAACAACAACAAAACCCACAAGAGGCAATGAGAAGACAGGCAGAAATCTTAAATACATACTCTGAAACAATGAACTAACAAGAAAGCTTTAACCGGTATGATTCCAACCAGCTGACATTCTGGAAAAACAGAGTTATCATGACTGAAAATATCAGTAGTTGCCAGAGTTTAGAGGAAATACCATGCATGACAGTGTAATGGTGGACACATATGCAAAAATCCAAACAATAAACACCAACAGTAAACCCTAAAAGTGAACCATAGCTACTACTGCGTCTTGTGATTTCACAAGACACTCTGGGGCAAGCTGATAATAGTGCAGAAGTTCCATGTGAGCAAGAGGAAGAAGGCTTCCAACTCACATTGCTCTGAATCTATAACAGCTTTCAAAGGTAGAAGTCCCTTCTAAAGATGCTAAACAACATTAACGTAGTCTTTGAGTCTACATTAGGGATGAACAAATAATAGCCTCTGGGCCAAAACCAACTGAAGACCTATTTGTATGGTACATTTTGAAAGAACTGTTGCCCCAGGCAGTGGTGGCACACACCTTTGATCCCAGTACTTTGGAAGCAGAGGCAGGTGGATCTCTTAGCGCAAGGCCAGCCTATTCTATAGACTGAGTTCCAGAACAGGCAGGACTACAAAGAGAAACCCTGTCTTGATTAAAAAAAAAAAAATTGTTAAAAAAAAGAAAGAAAGGGGTTAAAGAGATAGCTCAGCAGTTAGGAGTACTGACTGCTCTTTTAGAGGAACCAGGTTTGACTCTCAGCACTCATATAACAACTCATAATTGTCTGTAGCTCTAATTCCAGGGGATCGGACACCCTCTTCTGGCCTTTGCAGGACCAGGGCTGCACATGATACACAGACATGCATGCAGGCAAAATAGCCATACATACAAAATAGCACAATTAAAATACTGCAAAGAAGGAGACAAGATATGGCAGAGCGTATGCGGCTTGAAGATTGAACTGCATATTCCCTGGCTCTGAAGTAATGTGCTGGCTGGTATTATGTGAATTTAACACAAACTACAGTCATTTGGGAAGAGAGAATCTCAATGAAAAAATATTACCTCCAGATTGGCCTGTGGGCAAGAGTGGTATCTTTTCTTGATTGATGACTAATGTGGGAGGGTCCCAGCTCTCTGAAGGTGGTGCCACTCTTGGGCTGCTGGAACTGGGTGCTTTTAAAAAGCAGGCTGAGCAAGACATGAGAAGAAAGTAAGTAAGTAAATAACACTCCTCCATGGCTCTGGATCAGCTCCTGCCTAGAGCTCCTGTCCTGCCTTTGCTAGAGGATAGACGACATGTAGTAAGCTGAAATAAACTCTTTCCTCCTGAGGTTGCTTTGGTCACTGTGTTTACCACAGTGATAACCCTAACTTACAGGCAGGTGATTTGGCCGCACTACTGAGGAAGTAGTCTGAGAATTTGCTTGCAGTCCCACATTCTATCAAGCTTTTCTGCCTAGTCTGATAGTGATTCAAGCCACTCCTCATGTGAACTCCAGAAACTGTTCTTCCTTATCCTTTCAGACAGCCAAGAGTAATGGGCCTCTTTCACGGATCGTTGAAGCTGTCTTGTCTCCATAGTTCCCTTCTCACTAGTGCTAAGCCACAAATTCTGGCTACCTTGGCTTCCAAGAATTATGATGCCTGTCTCAACAGATTCCTCAATGCATTAACTGAAAACTCCTAGCAGACTATGGTGCTTTCCATTTTGTTTTTTTTCTCACACAGTCCTGTGCTACCAGTTTGCCAAAACCTAAGACAAACATTAACTTATATATTTCATCAGATCCTTTTTTTTTAAATGGAGGAAAGTAAATCAAGTCTGTTATTCCATCTGCCTAAGCATAGGCATGTACACTTATTTTTATATTTTGGAAAGGGAAAAAATTTTATGTTTTTTTTCTTCTTTTTTTCCTACATTACTGACCTGCCAAGTAAGACTGAATTTGAGGACTACTCTACAAGAAGGAATCCACACCCATTTGTGTAACCTGGTCAATAGCTGGTGGCTGGAGAGGATACAGGCCATGGTGGAGAAGCTACTACAGATATTTTGATAAATGAACATGCTATGGTCATTAAAATGCTTTCTAAATATGATCATGCTTGCTGCCAGTTTGGTGAGAGAAGTTACTTTCTGCAATGGTGGCAGTTACTATAGAAACTCAGAACTGGCTCAAAATATTCATAGGGACTTCCAATGAACAACTGTAAGGACACCTATACTGCTGAAAGCTGTCTTCTGGACCTTACATGAGGGTTGCACTCTTGAACTCAAAGCAGCTACAATTACTGGCACAAGACTGACCTGTAGGTACAAGGTATTTGTGTTAATCAAATGCTGGTTACTGTGCCCCCCATATCTGGTTGCAATCCTTGTTCTGACAATCTCCTGTCTCAATGTTGTGTAAACACTATTTTATTTCCCAGCTGTCCCCTGGTATGCCAATAAAGCAGCTTACAGCCAGTAGCTGAGCAGGAGAGAGAATAGGGCTAGACTTCTCACCAGCCAGAGGTAGAAGGAGGGGATTCAGCCACAGGTAAGGTCCAAGACACATCAGAAGCAGAGCTGGAGCAGGGAAAGCTACAAAGTTTAAGTATCTCTGGGATGTATGCTGGGAGGAAACCAGATTAGCTTAGAGGGCTAAGAATAGAGTAATAACTGCTCAGTTATTGTGCTGTGAAACTTATTACTAAACAATAAAAGAGTCTCAATTATTTGTGTGATAGCCAGGTTAAGAGAGAAACAGAGAAACACTTTTACAAAAAACTATAACACTGGCCCTGTCAACATTCTGATGGAGTGGGGTCTATAGGCAGTTATGATTTTCATCAGTGGTATAAACAATGGTAAGATAACAGTGCTCTATAAATAACTCTTCACCCACACTGCTATGAACAATACTAATGAAATTCATTGAGTCATCATATGCACATAAACAAGAGGAAAATGAAATCAATCTGATCAAAATACATTATATACATGTATACCACCAGGCACATACTGTATCAAATTTAGCTAACTGGGGGTGAGGGTAGTTTTTTTGTCAACTTGTCACAAACTAGGGTCCTCTGGGAAGAAGAAACCTCAGTTGAGACAATGCCCCATGAGTTTGGAGTATAGGCAGGCCCATAGGACATTTTCTTTATTAATGACTGAAATGGAATGACCTAGCCCACAGTGGGCAGTGCTACCCATGGGCAGGCGGTCCTGGTTTATATAATAATATAATAACCCAGTCAGCAGTGTTCATTCATGTTGTCTGCATCATTTCCTGCCAGCAGGTTCCTGCCCTGACTTCACTCCATGATAGATAGTACAATTTCCTCCCTTAATTGCTTTTGGTCACGGGGTTTATCACAGCATAAAAAGCAAGCTAGGACTCTGTGGGATGCTTCGGTCTCCTTCCCTGCTGCCTACTCTGCTCTTCAAAGTAAGAATGGAAGAAAGAAAACTTTATCTGAGCACAGTGAAACTATACCAGAACTGAAATACTCACTTAACCAAAATTCATTATGTACTGCTTGCTAGCCCTTAACTAGTGTGGTGACGCAAACTCAGATACACAGCACTTGAAAGGCAGAAGCAGGTATGGTTTGAGGACACTCTAGGCTATTGAGCAAGGCCCAGTCTCAATAAACAAAGAAAGACAGAGAAAGAGGGAGGAAGAATGGGAGGGAGAGGGAAAAGAGAAAGAGGAAGGGTAGGGAGAAAGAGAATGACAATCAGTCAGGATCAAAAGAAAAAGGAAATCTTAATCCTCATTAAAGTTGAGGCTAGACATGTAACTCTTCCAGGAATGCTGGCCTTGAATTCAACCCTCAGCATTGCAAAACTAAAATTAAATTAAAACTAAAAATAGAAGCAGACAGCCAGCCAGTTCTACATACCAAGCTCCAAAACAGGCAGGGATATACGTAGAGAAACTTAATAAAATAAAATAAAATAAAACAAAAACCAATCTTTAGCACTCGTTTTTAAACTCTATTTTATAATTTGGGATTCCTTAAAGCCTTTCCCTTCCAATGGTTAGTGGGGAAAGGGGGCACAGACCCCTTTACTTCTCCCAGCTGTTCAGGGTCAATGGGTTCTTTTAGGGCTATATCAATCTCCATCGGCAGCAAATGCAGCCAGCAATCTCCTTCAAGCTGCTGCGTCCCAAAGCATGCATCTCTGTTTGCTCTGTATCAACACACCATCCATCTCTGCTCTCTTCAAACTGCTACATAACCATACGCCAACTGCACTTTACACCTTTTCTCTCTCTGGGCTCTCATATTTACATCCTCGGAACCCTAGGCCACACCTCTCTCCATGCCACAACACACAGGCTATTACCAGCTGTCAAAGGCCATGCCCTGCATGTGACAATTATCAGCTGTGAAAAAACTAAAGCACAACTAAAATCCCACACTTGGGATTAAAACAAAAATATATTTACATCACATAACTGAGTTTTTAAAGAAACCAAAACTTCTATTACAACAATCAACTAAGAAAAGAAATAACAACTACCCAGTTAACAAAAATAGTAAGGTATTACCTAGCAAAGATACACACAGGAAGACCACTTCAGAAAAGAATATGATTAAATTTGAGAGGATGTTAACAAGAGAAGGAAACCTATTTTTGACACAAATCTCCCAGGCACAGAAGTACTATACCTCCGTACAGAAGTGTTATTGCAGGCCTGGGACATGATGCAGTCCTGAACGCTTCTACATCTGTGCCATCTTCTCACATAACGCTTTCTGAGAACTCATATTTGCTCAGTGCTTGGTGATGATGAGCTCAAGGCAGAATGTTCACAAATCTTAAAAGGCAGGCACAACATACAAAAGGCGATCTGGGCAGACACTCTACTAAAACCCAGTCTCTGAAGCAACATTAACAAGATTATTTCGAACATTAACAGCAAATATTTCTAATTAAGCTGTAAAACAGCAACTTAAAAGTCTTTACAATAAGGACATTCACAACTTACGATATTTACTGTGAATTTCCTCTATTTCCTTCTCTGTTTGGTTCTTCGTAAAAATCATGAACTAAAAAAAAGAAGATAAAAGAATTTTTAGAATTCCATCCAAAATGACAAAAATGAAAATCAACACATAAGTTTCAAAATCTCAAATGTGGTTTCTTAAAACAGAGGAAGACAATCTGCTTTCTGAGAAAAGAAACCTGCACATTTCCTGACTCTGACTTTCATAAACAGTAAACAGTCCTACTCGTCACTTCTTTCTCATTAGCAGATTTTTAATTTTATTAAGAAAAAAAGGGAAAACAAAACTTTTCCCTCAAACCCCATAGAATCAAAGAAGGAAATTCCATGACGGTTAAATACTATTTTCTACTTTAACAATTTTACAGTGAAATCCGAGAGGCTACTTAAGTAAGCTAGTGTATGTGCCTGAGTGTCTATGTGGCTCATGTGCAAGTATGATGTATGGATGTGCGTGCTTATGTACATGCAGAGACCAGAGAACAGAATATTCTGCTCTCTACTCTGCCTTGTTCTCTTGAGACAGGATCTCTCACTGAACCTAGAGCTAGGCTAGTGAACAGCAAGCCCCAGCAATCATCTAGTCCTCACTCCCCATAGCACTGGAGTTACAGGCATACACAGCCATGCCTGGCTTTTTACTTGAGTGCTGGAGATTTGAACTCAAGTTCTCATGCTTATAAAGCAAGCAATCTTACCTGCTAAGCCATCTACAGTCCCAGTTGTTTATATACTCTGACAAATGTTCATGTTATAATATAATAAGTAACTTGGTAGTAGTTGTGGATTTTAGGCCAAGGTGGGATTCATTTGTAGAAAGATTTAAAGTTTTCATTCTTCCCATTAACAGAAATACCCCAATAAACAACATAAAGTATTTGTATCCAACTCCAAGTAGTTGAAGAAAAAAACAAAAATGAAAATACCAAAAATCAAAATACATATTCACCTGTATCTATAAGACAAAAAAAGGAAGGAAAATTGTGTCAGGTAATAGATCTTTGACAGTAATGGGTAATACCATTTCTTCCACCTTTCTGCATATGTAAGGCTTTTCAAATAAAATACTAATGGAAAATATTTGGTAGAGGAAGGCAGTCAGTACCAGGGGTGGGGTGAATATGAACAAAATACAATGACATGAATGTACGAAAACACCATAAACCCATTGCTTATGTAGTTGCCAAAAACAACTAAAAAAATAAAATATATTAAGAAAACAAAGACAAATTTCTTAGTCAAGTCTCATTTTTCAGCTGTACATGTCATTTCCTCCTTTTGCTTTGAAACTTGTAGCATTTCTTTTCTAATTTTTGAAGTCTATTCTGTCAATTAAAGTATGTTTTCTATCACAGTTTTGTATCCAGTTTTGGTCACACTAGATAGCTGCATATAGGATAAAAACAGATCTATACCCATCACCCTGCACAAAACTCAACCCCAAACAGATCAACATAAAGACATGACTGTATATACTGAATCTTACAGAAGAGAAAGTAGGAAATAGGCTTGAATTCATTGGCATAGAAAAGGAATTTCTGAACAGGACATCAAGAATACAGGCACTCAGACTAACAATTAACAACTGGGACTTCATTTGCATGAAGCTAAAAATTTCTCTACAGCAAAGACGGCATCATTTAAGCAAAGTAATGGCCTACAGACTAGGAAATGTGATAGAAGGTTAGTATCTAAAACAAAGAACTAAAAAAATCTGAACATCAACAAAACAACCCAATTTAAAAATGGGGTACAGAGCTGCGTATGGTGGCACACACCTTTAATCCTAGCACTCAGGGAGGCAGAAGCAGGTGGATCACTCTGAGTTCAAGGCCAGGAAGCGAGTCCAGGACAGCCAGGGTTACACAAAGGAAATTAAAATTACTTTGACATTTCATCTCACCCTAGGCAGAATGACCAAAATCAGTAAAACAATTGACAGCACATGCTGGTGAGGACGCAGGGAAAGGGGAACACTTATTCATTGCTGGTGGGAGTGCCAACTGTACACTCACTATGGAAATCAGTGGGAAGGGTCCTCAAAAAGCTAAAAATCAAAATCAATTTACCACATGATCCAGCTATAACTGCCTTGGGTATATATTCAAAAGACTTAACAGACATACTGACTCATTCGTGTTTATTGCTGCTCCAGTCATAATAGCCATAAGCTGCAGACAGCCTAGATGTCCATCAACTGATAAATGAATTATTCAGTTGTTAAATGGTAAGTAATGAAATCTGCAGATAAATAGATGGAACTAGAAGCAATCATCATGAGTGAGGAAACCTAGACCCAATATTGCATATTTTCTCTTATAGGTGGATGTCAGCCTTTAAATTTAGATGTATATATTTCAACCCAAATAACCACAATAGTTAGGTAGTTAGTAAGAGACTGAGGAGGGGGTTAATCTTCCAAGGAAAAAGAAATAGGACACATTATTATAAAAAGATAACGGTGAAATTTGGAGAATTAAATTGGAGAGAGAATGGGCAGGCAGAATAAAGAAGGAAATATAGAGGGACACCAAATACTAAAGGCCCTTTGAAAATCCATATGGAAACTTCCAAACACACACACACACACACACACACACACACACACACACACACACACCACGAATGAAAGAAAATTTAAATGGAATCAGCAGATAATGGAAAAGACAATGCCCCAACTAAACATCTTATGCTACCAAGTAAAACCTCCAGTGACAGGAATGGGTTAGATCTTGTTGAATTGTTGGTCAAATGGGTCTCATAGACGCCTCCAAACATTACAAGCTATTATCAAAGTTATTTGTTATTCTATATAACCAGATGGTTAGGCCTTTTTACTGAAGACACAACTTAACTTCTGTCATTAAACAAATAGAAATTAGGCTCATGCCCAGTTAGAAGCTACACACTTAATGACTAGTGTTCATGGTACTAGAAAGTATTCTTGCACACTAACAGTAGAAAAAATTTAATTATAAATATCACTCAATTACAAACCGTGCAACCTACAACAGAGACTTGCCTGAAAGATATATTGGTACAATAGTGGCACAAATGTTACAGGAATAACCAACCACTTTTTAAAACTGTATTTAAAGCTCACTCTATGAGCTGGAATCCACTGCTAAAATGGTCAAGAACCTCAGACTAAATAGGCCATGGACCTAGGGAAAAACTATTACTCTGTTAATGGAACACAGCAATAAAACAATTTCTAATGACAAACTGCTGTACCCATATATCAGAGTATCATCCAACTTTCCTCAGAAAAACTTCTTTTTTGTAGTAGATGATAATTAACAGAGATCCATAAGTAGGCAAGGTTCACAGAGTGAAAGACTTTGAAACACTTAGCCCTACATGGCTATCTTTATCAAATCTCTTCCCTCAAACTTCAGGGATCTACGAAGAAGAAGAGGTGGAAAGATTTTAAGAGCCAAAGGTAGTGGATGACTCTAAAGAAACAGAATCATCTAGACACAACAGGACTAACACACATATGAATTCAGAGACCATGATAGAATGGACAAGATCTGAGCAAGTTTAAACCAGACAAAATTCCCAGCATTGAGAAAGGAAAGTGAACACCAAGTCCCAACCCTAACCAAGAAGCTATTTGCAACTGATACCTGTGCACAAAGGGAATATCAGTTTTCTTCAATGGAGTATCACTGGTTATAACAACCATATTCCAGGACAGGTCTCATGCCTAAGAGTAGTTGGGCAAGTCCATGTTGTATGTTGTTGTTTGTGTATTTTTATTGTCTTATTCTATTTCTTTTAGGTTTTTGTTGTTTTTGTTTGTTGTGTTTATTGGTTTTTTTGTCTTTGTTGTTGGAGAAAGAGAGAAAGAATATCAAGTAAGATGGATGGATTACGAAGTAGGAAGAAAATGGGGAAGAAAAAGAACTGATTAAAATATATTCTACAAAAAATATTTTTAAAATAAAAAATATTAAAAAAAAAGTATTATATTATCTGGGACTGCTGGTGCATACTTCAATCCCAGTACTTGGGAGGCAGAGGCAAGTAGATCTGAGTCTGAAGCCTGATTTATACAGTGAGTTTCATGCCAGCCAGAGCTACAAAGTAAAAGCCTATCTAAAAAAAAAAAAAAAAAAAAGGAGGAAAAAGAAGGAAGAGGAGCAGGAAGAAAAGGAAGGAGACGACCACATTAACGAGATTGAAGAGAAAGCTCCGAAGTTAAAAGAATTTGCTGTTCTTTCAGAAGACCTAAATTTAGTTCCCAGCACCCTTATCAGGCATCTCACAAATATCTCTAACTCCAGTTCCAGGGGATCCAACCCCCAAGCCTGGCCTCCATATGCACCCAAACACACATATGGTATAAATACAAAGACACACACATAAATAAAAATATAATATGAAAAAAATATTATAATGAAACTTCCCAGGTGGTAGGCAATTATGTTGTAGCTATATAATTGCCTATTTTCTTTAAATCAGATTATTAAAAGTTGGCCCATGATTCATAAAAGCTTGGGAAAGGTAACTCTAAAAGCATTATGTTGTGGCTAAATGTGAATCCTGGTCCTGTGGTCTCTCCTGAGAGCTACAAAAGTCATCAGGAATAGCACAGTAAATCCAGAACTCCTTCTTAATACTTATGATTATGCGAAATGCTTATAATGATTACAAATCTTAGAATATTCTTATTTTTCTTCACTGTTTCTTCTATCAATTGTGTCCTAGTAACATACTCATTTTCCTAGCTAATGATTCACATGCTGTTTTTAGTGTTCAGATCATGGCTGCTTGGCCCAAGACCACCTAGGCAGAACACCACAGCGGCAGGAGTAGAGCACCATCTTTACCTCATGGCTCACAGGAAACAGAGAGCAGCGTGAGCTTTTCTACGTGACTCCAGCTTATAAGCAAAACTCTACTTGGGGCTATATTACAATGCTGTAAGTCTATTAAACACATATACTGTCCAAAACCATGAGCTGGAAGGAAATTTTAATACTTTAAATAGCAATGTGTTCCAGTACATTTTCTACTAAGAAAAATTTACAACAGCTGGCTTTTAATTTTAAAAGTTCAATTCAACCTTTTCCTCCAGGACTTCTACCCAGATACCAAAAGAGATTCAACATACATTTTCATTGAGTTTACTTGCTTCAAGGCGCATTCTTGTCTTCTCCATGTTTTCAATTTCTTGAACTATTTCAGCAGCTATTAAAATAAGAAGGGGAAAAAACCACTTACTCACACTGTTTGATCATCATTCTATGCCTATACAAGGTTTTTAACAGAACAAGACAAGTGGTAGATACAAGCGGATTCCTGTGTTCTTTTTGCAAGTTTTCAAAAAAAATTTAAGTGTAGTGGTTTGGAGGAGAATGGCCTCCATAGGTTTATAAATTTGAATGCTAGGTCCCCGGTAATAGAAATGTTTGAGAAGGATTAGGAGGTGTGGTCTTCCTGGAGTAAAAAGGATTCACCTAAGGACACACCTTGTTGGAGGTATGTCACTGGGCTGGGCTTTGAGGTTTCAAAAAAACCCACTCAGGGTCAGTAATACTCTCTCTGCCTGAAACTTGCACATCAATGTGAGCTCTCAACTACTGCTCCAGGGCAGTGCCTGCCTGCCTGCCTGCCACCATGCCCTCTGCCATGATGGTCATGTACTCGCTCTCTCTCTGAAACTGTAAGCAAGCTTTCTATTAAGTGCTTCCTTTTATAAGTTGCCTTGGTCTTGGTGTTTCATCACAACAATAGAACAGTAACTAAAACAGTAGGTTTAGCAATACTTCAAAGCAATGCACTAAAAGAAGAATGTGGAGTTTTAACATGCAACTCCTCTATGTATCAAAATAAAACTGTAAAAAAATACCATGTCATTTTTGCCTTTTCTCCTGAATATTTAAACAGCAATTTAATGAAATATGAGAATTAACTTACTACTCTGAGTTAAAATCTTAGAGGCTATCCACTCAAACCCTAATACAGTAAATGTAGTGAAATTTGCCAAGAAGAAAGATCTGCAAATACCAAGGGAAATGTTCTTGCCTCCAAAACCAGTGTCTGAAGGCAGTTTCCAAAACTCAAAGCAGAGAGAGCAATAAAATGTCCTATCACACATTAAATGCCTTTCTTTAAACATAAATGGTGCAGATTTTTGCAAATGCTGTCTTTCTGTATCAAATCTCAATCTATTAAAGTGCATGAGACTGTGGTTTTGTTCTGTTTACACTGTCCTTTGCTTTACAGAAGCTTTTCAGTTTCATGAGGTCCTATTTATTGATTGTTGATCTTAGAGCCTTGCTGATGGTGTTCTGTTCAGGAAGTTGTTTCCTGTGACAATGAGGTGAAGGCTCTTCCCCACTTTTTCTAATAGTTAAACCTATTAATGTGTCTGGTTTTATGTTGAGGTCCTTGATCCACTTAGACTTTATTTTGTGCAGGGTGATAAATATGAATCTATTTGTATTTTTCTACATGTACACATCCAGTTAAACCAGTACCATTTGTTGAAGGTGCTTTTTTTACTATATGATTTTGGCTTCTTTGTCAAAAATCAGGGGTCTGTAGGTATATGGATTTATTTCTGGGTCTTCTATTTGATTCCATTGATCCACCAGTCTGCTTCTATGCCAGTACCATGCCATTTCAAAACAAATACTGAGATTCACAGCCAAACTTTGGGCAGAGTACAGGAAATCTTAGGGAAGAAGGGGGAGATAGGAAGACCTGGAGAGGGCAAGAGCTCCACAAGGAGACCAACAGAGTCAAAAACTCTAGGCCCAGGGGACCTGCAGAGTCCAATGCTCCAACAAAGGACCATGTATAGAGAGGACCTAGACTACCTGCTCAGATGTAGCCCATGGGTAGCTCAATCTCCATATTGGTTCCCTAGTAAGAGGAGCAGGGGCTGTCTCTGACCTGGACTCAATGGTCAGCTCTTTAATCACCAACTCCTGGGAGGTGCAGCCACAGAGGAAGACAATGCAGCCAGTCCTAATGAGACCTGAAAGGCTAGGGTCAGATAGGCGGAAAGAAGGACCTCCCCTATCAGTGGACTAAAGGAGAGGCATAGGGGGAGAAGGAGGGAGGGGAGACTGGCAGGGGACGAGGGTGGGGGCTACAGATGGGATACAAAGTGAATAAATTGTAATAAATAAATAAAGATTAAAAAATAATAAAGTGCATGAGGTACACAGAAAACTGACAATCATTTATATGTATAAAGATATTGTCTGGAATTTACGGAGAGGCTCTAAATGGTAGACAGAAAAACTGGGATGGCTTGATAATTGTTTATATTGTAGGATAGATCCATGGGGAAAATGAGAGTACTTCTTAGTCAATCTGCTTCTACACCCACCTCTCTTCATCATATATCCACTTTGAAAAATTCTACTAAAGTTTATTTTAAAATTCAAAACAACTGCTTCAATTAAACAAAAAATTTTCTTTTCCAAGTACTGAGATGTCAAAAAACTGGTAGAAACAATGTAAACAGTCTCTTTTGTGAGCTAGAATTACTCTTCTCCTTGGGAGTTTACTGAGTCATGGATAATAGAAAATCAGCAGGATTTACATTCTATCCGATACATTAACAAAAGTACCATTCTGGCACACTCTACAGTAGTAAGAAAATTTTATTAGGGTTGGGTACAAGTTAAAGGATTAAGCTATTTTCAGAAAAACTTGTAATTCCATTTAGGATGTAGAGAGCTAACAACAGCACCACACTCACTATAATGACAAGGAAAAGCTAGGCAATCTATCCAACTCTAATTTTGCTTGAATCCACCAGTTATAGCCAAACAGCAACTTCATGTCTTAAAATCCAAAAACAGGTGGCAAGAGCAGGAGGGATCATGAGCATCAGGTGACAAAAAGCAATGCTCAGGAGATAAACTGCAATGACCATATACCTGAGTGAGATCCTAGCTAAACTTTTTGATGGATTGCAAAAGGCCAAGGATTGCTTCCAAGAAAAGCATAAAAACACGGAGAGGCCCACACATAGGAACATCAGTAATAGGCTATTTCTACAGAATACCAGCACCTCTGTTTTTCTGCTTTCTAGTGTGCTGAGATGGTAGGAGTCCTAGCTGCACACTTAGCACCATAAACTCTGTCATGCCTTCCCACTCATGTGTCAGCAAAATCAATGAGTTGAAATAAATCTTCCCTTCTTTAAGTTGCTTCTTCTGGGTGGTCATGGCACACGCCTTTAACCCCAGCACTTGGAAGGCAGAGGCAGGTGAAATCTCAGATCAAGCTGGTCTACAGAGTGAGTTCCAGGACAGCCTGGCCTACAAAGAGAAATCCTGTCTTGAAACAACAACCAACCAAATGAACAAAATTTAGTACAGAACAATGAAGTCATTGTGATAATCTGGCCATGTTGTTCATAGGCCTTCAGAAGTAGCATGCAGAAGGACTGTGGAAGAGTATAAGGCTGCAGGTGAGAATCCTAGAATACTCTATGGAGTATAGAGTATAGAGGATACCTAGAGCACAACTTGACAGGCCATTGTGGTGGGAAAAAAGAAGACCAGAATGCTGAAATGTAGACAAGGAGGACTGTACTCAAGAGATGTCAGAGGGCAACAAGAGCTCTATATGGAACTAGAACTTGATTAGATGCCATTTGTGTCATGCTCTAGCAAAAAATATGACTATATTCTACCCATGTCTTGACTTCTTCATTGAGGTGAATTTAAAAAATAGACTAATTTGTTTGGTGGAGGAAATCTTACAATAGCATAACATTCAGGCTATGACATGACTACTGTTCAATGCATTTATCCTAATTCACAGAAAACAGAATAAAAATATTTTTTAAAAATGTGTAATTTAAAAAGATCTTGAGGCTGGGTAAAGTAGTGGACAGAAATGTATAGTGTAGCAGGAAAAGAGCTTTAACCATGACAGCAGTAGAACCAGGGATACACTTGTGGCTATTACCCACTCGTGTAGGTCAAGGAGGCAGATGACAGTGGTCAGATGTATATAGACAACCACTGGCTTGGGAGGAAAGGGATTCTGGGATATTGATGGTAATCTCAGGAGGCATTTTCATTTTTATGAAAATTTAGCAAATGATGTACTTTTCTGTTTCTATATCACTCTTCTTGTTTTTAAACATAAAGCAAATTCTAAATGTTCTTACCTATAAAGAACTCCAAAATGTAATCACTATGTGGAGAAAAACTATGTGGAAGATACTGACATTTTTTTTGAGTCAGACCAACTAAGAATGTCTGTTTATGTATAATAATCACAATGGAAACATCCACTGAGTTCTAAGTACTTGCTGAGGTACTAGATACTTTGGATACATTCATTCACCTTAAAACATTGTATAGCATGTAGGATTATAATCCTCACTTTATGGATGAGAACACTGAAATACAGAGATGTTACTTGTTCACAGTCACTCAGCATAAAGTGGGAGGAGTATGGGATTCTAGATCATTCTTTACCACCATGCAATCTCTGGAAAGATACTAAAAAACTGACATCAGTGATTCCTCTATGAATTGACCTGGTGCTATGAAAAAGCCTGAGAGGAAGACTGCCTTAGCATAGTGTTTCTCCAGGTAGCTCTTGAAAGGATTTGTTTGCATTTCCTACCTACTACCTAGGAGGTGCTTCCTGACCTACACACTTGCTTTATCCAGAGATGAGCACAGCTGTATTACTTTACCTGATTTAGGATGCAAAGCATCGCACTGGGCATTATACATGTGCACAAATTCTTGGTGCCTTTTAATAAGCTGCTGTTTGTTTCCTTGAACAGATAAGCCATGCTGTTTCAGCTTTTTCTTTAAATCACGATCAGAGAGCAAGTTATACACAGTTTTCGGCAGTGGCTTCCTTTTGTGAGCGGAACTAAAATAAGCAAACAAACAAGAAAGATCTGAGGATTACTGTGAATTATCAAATACTCTCAAATAAAATAGTAATTTATCTTCCCAACACCTGACTGACAAAAAAAAAAAAAATAATTGAGCCATTAAAGTAAAAAAGAAGGTAAGGAAATGAAGTCTAGTTTATGAAGTACTTGCTTCACAAGCATGAGTTTGACCTATCCATATAAGAAACTGAGGAAGTGGAGACAGGAGCATCTCTGGAGCATGCTAGCTCTAGCCAGCCTAACTAATCAGCAAGGCCAGGGCCCAGTGACAGACTCAAAGAACAAAATAAGCACACTCCTGAGTATGATACCCACGGATGACCTCTGGCTTTCACATACATGTTAAGATACATGTGTACCCCTAAACATGACATGCATACCCACACTTATACAAAGGTAAAGAGACAGGTAGGGTGTCAGCATAAGCATTTCAACTAGAGGTTCAGCTATGCGGGCAATTAAGTACATAAAGCAATTTTCAAAGTGGTCTCTACAATTGCAATCACTTCAATGACAACAGCAAATTAGTAAGATCTTAAAAGATCATAAAGCCTGTGCTTCTCAAACTTCAGGGGACCTTAGAAAAGCTTGTTTTAAATGAAGATGCTCAGTCACTTTCTCCAGAGCACCGTCTACATAGAACAGGACTGAAGCAGAAACTGAAAATCTTTACTTTCCAGTTTTCCAAGGTAAATCTGGGTCCAAAGGTCATCCTGAAAGCACTATTACAGTTAAGTATAGATAAAAACAGTTCTATTCACACCAGGATCATTTCCTGACTAAATTGTCTCTATTAGCAAAGTCTGAAAGCTACAAATAACTACTTAACTGTAAAAGAACCTGCAACCTCAACAGTGTATTTCCCAAAACTTCTTATAATGGCATCCAACTGGATTCTACAAGACTGATGAAATTATGTTAAAATAATATCATAGTAGATAGCAACAACTTACTCACTTTGCAGTGTTTATGACAAGCACAAAAGGAGGAGTGATTCATAAAGTCTCTAGCAAACATTTATTTCTTTAAGGTCAGACTATTACAACTGTTAAGTTCTAACAAACATTTGTAGTGTTCCCTAGCACTCACAATGAAAAGACGACCAGACACCAACCATCTCTACCAAAAACTTGAGACTATGAAGCCAAAGAAACATTTCCCCAAGCATGACACGACACTCATCTTTTCTATGCTGACTCAGTGAAGATAAATATCATGAGTCAGGGGTCTCAGAACCAGAACATCAACAGAAAAGAGCTCTGCTCTGAAGCAACTGATGATCTGCAGAGGAAGGGATCAGAGTTATCAGCCACACTCAGTAGGTGACCTTGACTGTTATAAAGGAGACTGTAAAGCACAGAGACCCTTATGTGACCAAACCCAAGGCTAGAATATAGCTAAAATGATTCAGCTCCATTTGCCCTAAATATGTCTGAACAATTTTTTAAGAAATAACTTGTGAGGAAAAAAAAAAGAACAACAACAAAACAAACAAGCAAAAACAAATAAAGAAACAAAAACTTGGAGTAAAGTGAATTTAGGAATTATGAAACAAAACCAGCTCCAGCAGCTGTCTCAAGCATAGGACTTCTCAGCACCTTCGGTGTACTGACAGTGACACAGTACAGGCTAGTTCTGTGTTGCACTGGGGACCAACTGGCAATACCTGTGCAGCCAGATTTAGAACACCACTGGACAAAGCTAGAAGTATTAGATGAATACAACAGAGCCATCTAGAAAGAGAGCAATACAAACAAGATCATCAGTGCCAATTTCTTATTCTTCAGGGAGAAAATACTCAGCTTTTCTACTTCCAACTTATTTTCTGGGAAGAAACACACGACAAAAAAAAAAAAATCAAACAAACAACAACAACAAAAAACAGGTCATGAAATACTGATGGCTTAAAAGTCATCCTAAGAGCAACATAAACATCTAAATTATATTCCCATCAACAAATTTGTGGGAACAAAAAGGAAGTCCTTGTGAGCACAGGACTCCCCAGGCTTGGAGTCAAGTACAGCTTCAATTAAAATATCAGTCCTTAAACACATAAGTGAATTAGTTTCAGATTGATACAGAAAGGAGGCAAAGTAGCACAGTAGTATGGGTACAAATACTGAACTCACAGCTTATTAGTAACGTCATTTCTTGGTGTTTTAGGAAGAAGATCATTACGCCCCAAACATACTCTTTCTCAAGGAAGGAGTAAAACAGAAGCAAGGGGCTGGAATGTCACTGTACAGCTTAAGCTGCCCTACTTTTCGGTCATCTATGCTACCCTTTTCAGTAGTCTACGATTCTCCTATCTCAACCTTCTGAATGCTGGGATTTTAGGCATATACCACCAAACTAAGCTAAAAATACTCTTCTGCATCTCCGCCTCCCACCCCAAGAAAGGGTTTCTCTGCATAGCCTTGGTTACCCTAGACTCTCTTTGTAGAGCAGGCTGGCCTTGAACTAACAGAGATACGCCTGCCTCAGCCTTCCAGAGTGCTGGGATTCCAGGTGTGCACCACCACACCCAGCTTCTGCATCATTTTTACAGGACATCATGTTACAGAACAACCTATTCAAAAAATAATTTTTGAAAAAGCTCACTAGGTAGTAGACCTTGGATTCAACTCTCAGCACCATATAAATACCAACAGGCAAATATACAGTACTTAAATTAATATTTAAAATACTAATTCTTTGATTGTTTAAAGGTTTATTTAAGATATTAAAATACCATAAGAACTAATGAAAGATTTTACATGTTCCAAATTTCAAGCTGTCCTTGCTTTCTTTGGGCAAGGCCTTTGTATGAGATTTTGAGAATTCTAAAAAGAAAGTAAGTTTAAAAGACAAGTGAATTCTAAGTCACTAGTTTCTCTAAGTCATAATGTAGCAGCAAGCAAGCACTGATCTGCTACTACCATGTAACAATGTGAACTGAAGAAGGACAAAGAGAAGATGGAAAGATAACCAGCATTAAAGAAAAAAATCAAGCGGGAAAGGAAACAGGAGTAACAGTCACCAGGACAAAGGAGTCCTGTTTTGAGTCTAGTCTGTAAAGCACAGAAGCATCAATCTGAGGTAGGTAAACAGCTATGCCCAGCTTTCTTACCTTCTAAGACTCTCCTTCTTCTCTTCACGCGATAAGCAACAGTCTAAATGCTTATTGATGTGATTTTCTGAAATGCTGACCCCACAAACAGGACAAGACACTACATTTTTTAAAAAGAGAAACTTTATTAGTCATAGAAAAGGCAAAAATTAACAAACTGGCATCTTTCAGTAACTAAAAGAAAAGACAGGACCCTGGCTAATATGCTCTTAGAAAAACTCTTTTTTTTTTTTGTATTTTTTTTAATTTTTTATATTTTTCTTTTTTTCTAAATTTTTTTATTAATTACTCTTTATTCACTTTGTATCCCCCCTGTAACTCCCTCCCTTCTCCCTTCCCAATCCCTCTCTTCTTCCCCCTTCTCCACATATGCCCCTCCCCAAGTCCACTGATAGGGAAGGTCTTCCTTTCCTTCCTTCTGATCCTAGTCTATTAGGTCTCATCAGGAGTGGCTGCACTGTCTTCCTCTGTGGCCTGGTAAGGCTGCTCCGTCCTCAGGGGAAGGTGATCAAAGAGCAGGCCAATCAGTTCATGTCAGAGACAGTCCCTGTCTCCATTACTATGGAACCCACTGGGACACTGAACTGCACAAAGCAAGGACAGTGGCACACTGGTGACTAGTAACTAGCTACTGTGTGGAAAATCACATGATCAGAATCCGAGGCCTAGAGACTGCAAGTAAGGTTGTGAATTGACTAATTAGAAAATACTTTGGTAATAGCTTTTCTATGAAGGTACCAGGAAACCATGTGCTGAGTTTCCCCAGGCCCCATCTTACACAGGACAAAAGCAATGTCAACAACTCTGTAATGAAGTTACAACTATGAGTTGTAACTCAAGCCAAGGCTTGGCTGGTTTGGTACAACTAGCTGAACTACTGACCTCCCTGCTCCCATGCCAGGTATGCCTTATTAAAGCTACGGCTTTGTGAAGTTGCAATGAATGTGAAGATAATCAGAATCTACCATGGGTTAAAAACAGTACCCAAAGAAGGGAGGCTTATGGACCACAGTCACAGGTTCCCTCCTACTACTTTTACTAGAACGCAGAGAAGTGTATCTATTTTATAGGTTATAGCCATTCTAAGATTTCATTTGGAAAAAAAAAAGTTCTACAAGAGTTGAAAACATGTATCTATGAAACTAAAAACACAACAAAAACCATAGAATATATAATCAAAAAAAAAAAAAAGCCGTAAGAGTATTAACACATAAGTAATATTAAACTAATTCCAGCTTTCTAATAAACACTACTGGCCTTTAACTATGGGTTGTATGGGTTTGCTAAAGACACAGCATTCTTAGTAAAAGATGAAAGCATAGAGACTGGTCGTGGGTATTCCAGATAACCCTTCACACTATAACCTTGGCTCTGTTATGTCACTACTGCTGAATAAAAACAGCAGAGATAATATGTAAACAAAAGAGGAGCATATGTTCTAGTAAACCTGTATTTACTACACAGATGACACGTCAGATCAGTTTTCAGTTATTCTGTCAGTCAAGGGGTACACTGCAGGAAGAGTGACAAATTAGCTAAGAAACATTCAGGGAGTTAGGAAATAAGGCAGGGTCACTGAAGTACTGTCATATGCCAAAAGATATTAAACTACAGGCAGAACAGCAAGGAAGTGTTCAACCAGTAGTATAAAATAAAGGACTCTTTCTTTCAGAGTTAACTTCAACTGGATGAGGTGAAATGATAAAATAAATAAATAAATAAAAAGAAACAACAACAACAAAAAAAACCAGAAAGCTTCCATGAGAAGCATTAACTATTTAACCATTCCACTTTTGCAAGAATCATCTTGATTGCAACTTTGAAAGACAACAAGCCTCTAATCACTGATTGCACCAATCCTAAGACATGGTGAGGTGAAACCTGGTCTACTCCTTTTTACTCCCCCTCAAAAGTGCTGCCTGTTAATCCCACACCACATGGGTGAGACTTCCTTAAAGATGAAAGGGCTTATATAAAAATGGCTTCCTACCTTTAGTGTCCAGTTTCATAGTAGATGTAGAAGGTGTCACAGGACCATTAGCATCCGAGGGACCAAGTACCGTCTTTCCTATGAGACTTGTCTCCTTAATCTCAGCAAAGGTACTTATCTCTTTATGAGGGCTGAATTTCCTGTCATTTTCTTTTCCCAACAACTCAGATACAGAATCATCATTTTCTCTAACCAGGAACTTATCCATTAACCTGTTCCCCTGTTTGCTAGGATGTTTGATGGCTTCAGCATTATATACTTTAACAACTTTCTTCGAGGTGGAGGACACAGGAGATATGGGTGGTGACTCTAAAGCAAACTGCAACAGGCGAGTCCTTGAAAATAAAAATAAAACAACAGGTAATTAAGATGTCAAATTATACAAAATAAACTCGTGTCTTCAAGACTTGTTCCTCTGAAACACAGAATTTATGTCACAATCACAACCAAACTAAACAGCCTTTTTAAAAATAAGAAATAAAGCAATAAATCAGAATGAAAAGGCAATTAGTAAGACTTAAAGTAAATTGGGTTCTAGCTGCTAATATGAGACTTACTCTACAATCACTAAGTAAAATGTGGAGAACTACATGAAGCAAATGAGTCGCACTACAGCACAAGCAACACAAAAGTATGATTCTTGGAAGAAGAGAATCACATGAGGTGATCCAACTCTGCCCCCAAGATCTTCACCTGGAAGCATTTTCTGAGATTTGCATATTGAACTGACATCTAAATAGGAAAAGTGAATTCGCTGTGCAGGGAGAAGAGAACACAATTCTGAGCAAATGTGACAAGGAGTTGGGGACAGGGTACTCGGCATGTGGAAGCCACAAAAGCCACAAGAAGGAAAACTCTCACCCATCAACAATCACCTCCAGAGTACACAAGGACAAAAAAAAAAAAAAAAAAGAAACCCACAAGCCTGGTAGAAGACAGACATTGGTAAACCACAGGCCAGTGCTGGAAAGATGTTCCATTCAGCGCAAAGTGTGTGTTCATACAAACGTGCATGCATGCATATATGTTTGCTTCTGTATGTATAAAACTCATGTGTATGCATATGTGTACGTGTGTAAAACCAAAATAGAACCTAATCATACATTGCACCAACCCTTTATAGAGCAAAGGCAAAGAGCTGGTAATTTAACCGCTTGTCAGAACAAAAATGTACTATCATTCAAAGAAGGATTTTGCAGCTTCTGTAACATTTGGTCTACAATGTTCACAAAAAAGAAAGAAAATAGCTACTAATCAAGCCATAAAATATTTTTTAAAAAGGGAGATGAGGTTTATTTTTATTATGATTTCGTATTAAATTGTATTAAATGTATTTTCTGCATTCATTATGATGCATTATATACATTTTGCTATTTTATTTTGCTAATATAGTTACATTAGTTGATTTTTCAATGTATCTTAAATTTCTACATCTAGGTTTTGTTTTGCCAATAATTTTTGTGACTGATTATGAAATACTATTTGAGTATAGTTTTCCTTTCCTGCTTGTCTGGTTTTATCAGGGCTCTGCTTCTTTCTTTCCCTCTCTCCTTTCTTTTCTCTTTTTCTTCTTTCTGTTCAGGGTCTTGCTATGAATATGAAGCCTTGGCAGGCCTAGAACTCACTAATTTGACAAAACACTACTTTAAAAAAACAAAAACCTCACAACTACTATCAATCATTAACGGTAACAAATGAGGCATCTCTCCCAAGACTGAAAAAGACACAGATTCCTATCAGCACCATCTCTCTTAAAACTGCAGAAAATGTCCTGAGCCAATGGTGAGACCAAAAACAGGAGCCACAGATAAAAACCATAAAGATTACAAAAAGTAAAGAAAAATTTTCATTTGCTTAAGAAAAGTTAGATATAAGACAGGTGAGAGAATAGCTTCATTATATTATCATATATATATATACAAGTTATGTATATATGTGTGTGTGTAGATATCTATATCTATCTACACACTATAGATAGATAGATAGATAGATAGATAGATAGATAGATAGATAGATAGATA